AGGGAAGGAACAACAACATATTTTTCCCCCCCCCCCTACCCCGCTTTGCAGCAACTTGCTCGAAAATGTGCAACATGCTGTCAAGGGTTTTTGGTCTAGTCAAAATTTTTGAACAATGGTGGTACGAAACTCTTGGGACATTGTATGACATCAAATTCCTCCGGGTAAGATTTACCTTTAGAATCAATGCCCTTTCTTTTGGCTGATACAGGACTTCTTTCACCTGGTGTTTGATGGACATTTCAGTGCCTTAACGATGTCAGAATTGAGTAATCTTGGGCTCCTGAGATTCATCTTGTTGAGACGCTCAATTCAACTATAGGCTTGCTAGATTCAACATTTGTTTGATATTTTAAATTTGTCCGGAAAATTTCAAGCATAGTTAAATGACTTGATCTAAGATTGATTTAACTCGAATTAGGCTGATTTTGATATCATTGGGTCTGTCTCATCAAGCCGGGTAGTTTGACTATAAATTTGTTGAAATCAGAGCTCTAGATGACTCTTAATTGAAGTTTGAATGTTTCTTACTCAAAAGATTGTTTTGAGATTTATATCATGCCTCGAGATTCATGCAGGATGATTAAATTTTATTGGTGGGTATCAGAAATTGACATTGCCTATATATTATTTATAAAACAAATGACTTATAGTATCTTTTCGTTTCAGTACAAAATTAAAATTGAACAGTGTCCATTATTCAATATAGCATTGCCTGAGCAACTTTTTTTTTCTCTTGCTCAAATTATTTAACAATATTAATAGGTACTTTTTATTTTCTTTTCTTTTTTTTTTTCTTTTTTTAAAAGAAATTAGTTAGCTTTTACATAGATTTTGGTAACAATGTAAATAGATTGAAATTGGGTGGTGAGCACTTAAATGCCCCAAATTTTAATGGATAAATCACTACTACATGAATAACTTGATATGAAAATAATTATTTTTTCTTAAATAAAATAATTTACTTGTAAGATATTAAATTAAAAGATAAAGTTTATATATAAAGACTTGAGGAATTGAAAGCTCAAGTCATATATATAGATAGGTATAGAAATATGAAAATAATTGGTAATGAAAAATTATCGATAATCCATTGCTTGCAAGTACCTGCGGCCATTTGGAACCACCGTAAGCGGCATTGTAAGCGGCATTATTATGCCATCAAATTTAAATGGTAATGAAGACAAATTAACCTCTCTGAGCACTCATCTTTCAGATAATCTTTAGTAATCATGATCAAGACATTCTACTGGAGCTATCAACTAGGCACTATTTGTTTGGTTGAAAAGCGATTCAAATTATTTATTTCAAAATATTTAAAAATTAACACGTTACTGGCGGTCCATAGAGGGGCCGGTAGTGGCTGTTGGTTGGTTGTCAGGCAACGTCTGGCTGCAGCCGGTGGAGGTTAGCGATGACAGACTTTGGACGACAGACGTTGACGGGTGGTGGCCGAATAATTAGATTTTTTTCGACCAAATAATTTAAATTTATATTTCTAAATGTATTTAAAACAAATCGTTAAACTTTTTGTAAATAGAAAAGCATCAAGTTATATATTATTGCATTATATTGGAAGCTTATTTAGTTGACATACAAGGATATGCAAGTACATGAATAACAGAGCTTGTTTGTGAATAAGTGAAGATGAAGAATCTCTTCATCTCTTAACTATTATCTCATTTAGAAAATTCTTATCTGCCTTATTAGTTTTATTATCTTTATACATTCATTATAACATTCTATTAATTAGAGCACATCTTCATTACTTTCAATCTTATAGTGATGTTCTCTGACCATCGAAATTATGTTTTGAGTGCATTCAATCATATTTCTCTAATGATATTCCTATAGTTTTGTGAAATCTCATTTAAAATTCATTTAGAGAGTTTAAATGGCACTCATTTTTAAGAAAGTCCATTTATATTAATATATCCTAGTATTTCATTTTGTGTGCAATTTCATAAGTAATTTATCAACGCCGAGCATATTTTTTTCCACTAAATGCAAATTATAAATGCATTTAAATGCGAAACTTTGCCCTCTAATGTCCATATTTAGTTGTTTGCAAATTTTTGAAAGACGATATAAGCAAACAAATAAATAAATAAATAACTCCTAATTTTTTCAGAAACACCAACAAAATTATTATAAATTTATATACATTTATTTAAAATTACACTCAAAGGAATACAAAATTCCTAATACATGCAATCAAATATCCCCCTCGTAATAATTCGGCAAATGTTAGATCAACTAATAGTTTAGATAAAGACTTTCTCTAATTACATTGAAGCATATTAATTTTACATTAATTTGGCTTGCCATAAACACTAAAATAAAGTGTATGATAGTTTATCAAAATAGACTAAGAAAATTCATGTGTTATATTTTTATTTTCTCAAATAACATTAAATTATAATTTTAATTTGTAGATAAATCTATAAAAAAATTTTAAAAAAATTATAATAAAATGTATGATATGAGAAAAATATTAAAAAAATATTTGAAAATTAATACATAAACATAAAAAAAAAGTAGCATATATTAATCTTTTATGGACATGAAGAAAATTTTGATATTGTGGCAATTATTTATGAATGATAATTTTATATGCTTACAAATGAATTGTAAATGTTTTTTTTTTTATATTAGAATAATTAATTAGTTAAAAAATAATAATGAGTTCATTTTTCTTAGTAAAAACAAGTTAGTCTATTTAAATTTCAAAAATATCTAAAACTAAGAGAAATATATGGGGATTTCATGTAATTAGCTTCATGAATGATGGTATTGCATTGATTAATTAAATTAAACCAATAGCTTCTGATGATCCCTCTTTAATGTAGCATTTATAATTAAAAGAAACATAAAACAACATAATTTACTTATAGAAAGAGAATATGCGCAACACATACGAGTTATTTAAAATCAAAAGATTGGGAACCGGACAAATTGATTAGTCATGATGCACCTTATGACTAATTAACACAAGATACACATTAAGAAAAAAAATTAAAGATGAATAGGGCCAATAGGACTAGCGAGAAAATTAGAAATCTGATATCTCAACATACAGCTGGCAGCAAGCAATTGGCAATATGGGCCGGTTCCGCCACCACAACTTCGTAAAATATTATCACTCATAATAGCCTTCGTCAATAAATTAATGCAGTAGTTGCATTCTAACGGTTGGAGATCTCCCGTGCACTGGACCATTCCAAAGACTGTTAGGTGGTTCAGTAAATCAAGACCTGCCATTGCTCCAAACCTATTAGATGCTGTTATCGCTTTCATGGTAGCCATGGTTAATACTTTCTTCACGGTTCCTACGTATTCAGACTCATACTTCCAATAAAAAACGGCATCTTCTGCAATCCAACCATGGATGGGACTGCCGACTACCCCCTTAAGAAAATTTGTGGAATCGTAGCGAAGGAAGCAAAGGTCGTACCAAATTTCCGCTCGGGAAAAAAAAGGGCAATCCTTTTTTATTCTACGTGTCGCTTTTGAAACGCATGCCGAACAGTTCTTCTGTTTAATGTCCCCTCGGCACTGAGCGTGGCCATAGATTGCATTTGAATCACTGCGAGCAATGTGGAAAGCGTAGTAATTGGGACTATGCCTAATCTTTTGTACTATATTAGAAAGTACGCGGTTGATGTTCATTTCCAGCTCATGGTCGCCGAAGTTCTTGAATAAAATGTCGCAATCCCGCACTGGAAATCGACGATATTGAGGGGCACATTTCCCAAATACTGAAAGGTGGAAAACCAAAAAGATGAATAGTTTGCGTGAATTTTTCATCGCTATTTTTGCTTCCCCATGATTTAATTTGCTTGCTTTTTTATAAGGAAAGAAATGAAGCAGACTCCAATGCTGCGCCGGCCTTCCGCTAAAGTCTGGCAGCTTTTTATTTTTATTTATTTTATCTTATTTTACGTTTGACATATGGATGTAAGAAAGCAATGGAATTAATGATTCCATTTGACAACACAAAACCGCAGGTTGGTGATGCCCAAAGTATACGTCTACAATAACTAGAAAACTATTGATAATATAATTAAAGCTAATTGGTAATAAAAAATCTACATTGCCTAAATATTATTTATAAAACATATAATTTATATTATCTTTTAGTTTCACTACAAAATTAAAATTGCATCTAGTGTCTATTATTTGATATGGCATTGCCTGAGCAACTTTTTTTTTTCTCTTCCTCAAATTTTTTAACAATATTAATAGGTCGTTTTTTTTTTTTTACTTTTCTTTTTTTAAGAAAATTAGTTTGCTTTTATATAAATTTGGTATTAAATATAAATTTATTGGAATTGGGCAGTGAGCATGTAAATGCCCCAAAATTTTAATGGATAAACCACTACTACTAGAAAAATGTGATCAGGAGATAGTTATTTTTTCTTAAATAAAAAAATTACTTGTAAGAATTTAAATTAAACGCTAACATTTATATATATAT